GCCTGGCTCTGCCTCCCGAGTGCTGGGATTTTTGAGGACATTTAGGGATGCACAAGTATCATGATCAGGTGTCACACTGCCAACACACAGTTCAATGAATTTGAGCAAATTTGTCCAGTTCTGTGACTGTCATCACGTAACCACTCTATGACACCTTTCTCACCTCCAGTTCCTGTTTCTTCTTCATCTCCCAGAGTTCACAGATCTGCTTTCCGCCTCTATGGTTTCGCCTTTTCCAGAAATTACTACAAGTGGAGTCATAGACTATGAAGTCTTTAGGATGTGTTTCTTTCACTTAGCTCACATCTCTGAACGGTACCCTCTCCTTTCCACCATTTTTTGAAAGCCTATTTTTGTCTCTGCTTTTCTCTCTAGATTTTTAGGACTAGGTCTTGCTATAACAGCCCAAGTTGGCCTCCAATTTATAATCCTCCTGCCCCAGTGCCGAGACTGCAGGAGTGTACCACTAGGCTTAGCTGGCGATCTCTTCCTATCCTTCGTGCCCTCCACAACCACATACAATTTCCCCACTACCCATCTGATTTCTTTTTTATCACCCTAAGTCTCGTCGTTCTTTGATTCCTTAGATGCCATGAGGAGAAGAATCTTGGAATCCACATCCACAGCTGATCCTAAATGGGATCCAGCTTGCCCTAGCCCATGGGTGCCTGGGAGCCTGAGATGTGTCAGACTCTGGTGGTGGGCAGCAAGCAGAAATGACATGGGAGGCGGGTTGCAGCTCAAGACTGTCAGCCTGCGAGGGAAATAAATACAAAATAAATGGGAGAATAGAGTCAGTTTACTGAATGCACGGATCCACTCCACTCAGGGTGGGCTGAGGCCTGAAGAGGGGCCCTCAGCAGCAGGAGCCCAGGCTGCTGGGCTGCCAGAGTTGCTGGGTCCACTTGGGCTGCTGGGCCTCTGAGGGGCAGCCTCAGGGAAGCCCACGCGGGACTCGGCTGTTTTGCCTGTGTCGGCTGGGACGAGGCTGGTCCGTCCCTGTGGCTGCCCGAGGATGATCAAGCCAGACACTTGAACGGAGTGGCCCAGGTGAGAAAGGTAACTGTGAACACACTGGCTTCGGGTTCAGTAAAGAGGAGGGTAGAAGGGAGGCACAGGGGTGGGGGGCGCAGAAAGGGCTTCTGGGTGGAGAGGTCTCTGCTGCACTCCACGACCAGCTCCCTCGCTAGATGACCCGGCCTGGGTAAACACTGCTTTCATTACCATCTCCCGACTCGGAACCTAGGAAGCAAGACCATCTCTCAGGCTCCAGGGCCACAGCTGGCTTCGGGATCTGCCACACGGGGTGTACAAGGGTACCAACTGCCCTTCTTCCTCCCACCCTGGCCCCGGTGGCCAGCCACACACACGGAAATGGAATATGGAGCAGGATGGGGGAACACTTCAATCTGGGGCTGAGGAATCTCCAGGCTGCCTGCACTGGGGCTTCTCCTGGGTCAGGGGCAGCTGGACAGCGGGCTGCTCTATGAGTCTGTTTCAGCTGTCTCTGCCCGCCAGTCTGGTGATGCAGCTTGTAGACTGAATAGCTGGTAGAGCCTTTGCCTTCTCTCAGGATGAGGTTCCCAAGTGAACTCTACTGCCTAACGTGATTGAGGGTGTGGGGGTGTGATGGCAAGGAGCAGGACAGGGTGGCATTGGGGGGTGGCTGGAAGGTCCAAGTACAGCAAATGGAAGAGGAGAGGGGTTCCCTCATTCTTGGGGAAACTCTTCTTCTAGATCCTTCCTTTTGTCTTGGTTTGAGAAAGCGTTCCCAGACTTCGTAGAAACACTATCACGGTTGGAGAAGTGCAAGGAACAGGAGTAAATGACACCTTGACATTCATACCCCGTCCCTCTTATCACCGCTTCTGGTCTCAAGGAAGCCCCAGCTGCTGTGGGTGTCCCAGCTCCCTCTCCCACGCTGTGAGTTGGCTTGTCTGTGTTCGCTCATCACCTATACGCATATCAGCAGGTGACGCGCTCTCTTTCTGGCCTCCGTCTTGGCTATGGTCATGGCCATTTGTGCCAGCTGGGAAGCAGCTGTCAGAGACGCCGGGTCAGGAGCCCTGTAACAGGTTGGCTCACACATCAAAGGATCCGCCCGAGATGCCCTCACCTCAGTGTTACTGGTGGGGTCTTAGGTTCAGGGAAAGGAACCCAGTAAGAAGGCTGGCGTGGGCACCCCAGGGCCACAAGGCAGCTGGCACCTTTTGTGGCACCCTTTGTACCCTGATGTTTTGTCCTTTCCCGCTGTGTTTACCTGGGCTGAACTGGGGTGGCAGGTCACAGCTGTGACTCAGTGCTGGCAGGCCACATTAACCAAATGCTGCCAACCAGGTGAGTCATGCCAGGCTGTGGGGGCCAAAGAAGAGGAGTGTGGCCAAGAGGGGGGGTGCTGGCCTCCTCTGGCTCTGCTTCTGATGCCTGACTTTTGTCTTGATAGTGGCTTTGGCACAGAGACACGCTAAGGGCTGCCAGTGCTCATTCACTGAGGACAGTGTGTTGGTCCCTTTGTTCTGGGCTCGGCACAGCCTGGACTGACTCTCCCTTCTCTACTAGTAGCTCGGGAGTGTACAGGACTAGGGGCAGGTAGATGGAACCTGGCCTGTATTTCCAGGAAAGAACCGGCTGCCCTGTGGCCTGCGAACGGTCGATTCTGGAGATGGGACAGCTCCCAGCTGAGATAGCAAATGAGTGGTAGACAATCAGAGGGACCATCTGCATGGGAGGAACAGAGCGGGAAGGAAGTCCCCTTCCCTCTCGGTTGAGACTTATTTTGGTTGGTGGTGGTTAGGACAAACGCCCTGGACCTCACTATACAATGCAGGCTGGCCTGGAACTTGCAGCAGTCTGCATGGGCCACCATGCCGGTCGATATTCCTTTCTAAACATCCCTTAGGGAGAGCAGCCTCCTGTAACGCAGGCTTAGGACCCCAAGGCAGCCCTTCCGGTCCTGATGCAGTGCACCGACTCTGGGTCTGGGGGAGCCCTCCCCGCCTGCAGGACACAGCGGTCACAAGGGGCACTAGGGGGCGCCCCTGCCCAGCCGAACCCTTTCGGACGCGCCCGGCCTCGCAGGTTCCGAACCGGGTAGCGCTGCGGGCGCCTCCGAGGCGGGGCGGGGCCCTGGGCAACAGGACCCTCTGCAGGTCTCCCAGCTGGGGACCAAAGCCTGCCGCCTGTCACGTCCCTGTAAGAGCACGAGGCCCTCGCCGAGGCCACGCTGACAACCCGTGCGCGGACGCCTGGCCGAGGTGCGGTCCCCGGGAGGCGGTGCGTGCAGGCGGCGACACAAAGGTCTTTTAGACACCGCACCGCCGCCTTCCCGGCTGCACCCAGGCAGCAAGCCGGGGTCTGGGGACGACTGCGCGAGCGGTCCTGGGGCTTCGCTCCAGGGGGCGCCAGGCCGTCGGGCAGGCTGGCTTGGACCCCACAATCGCGCGGGGATTGGGGCTCCAGAAGCTCCTTTTGTATGGAGAAGAAAGGGCCTTTCCTATCTCTGAGCACCGTGAGCCTGGCTCCCTAGGACTGCGTGGCCTGAATAGAAAGCTTGCTTCTCTAGGGTTGCAGTCGGGGCCCCACCCCGGGGAGCTCTGGACTGGTGCAATGTCTCTTCTGGTCAGGTATTTATTTGTGGAGGGCGGGGAAGGGGTCCACAGAGCATCCCCGCAATGGGCTGCATCAATCCTGTCTGTGGGCTGTGCGTGAAAGACACATTCCAGAGCCCCACCCCATCGCTGGAGTGGAGACCGTGGGAGGGCCCAGGAATCTGTGTTTAGGGTAAGGCATCGAGATCCATGATGCCAGCGTGGGAATCACTCTCCTAAGCTTTCAGGACAAGGCAGGCTGCTGTAAAATTTCTCCTCCAAGAACCCAGAGAGACCCAGTTGTCACATCCCTCTATTTCCCTGCGACGCTTATTCTCTCTGTGGATAGAGTCTTAAGGCTGGCCTCTGAGCCCTCTGCTTTAATTAGGCTCATTTTCTCCAGGGAGAATTTCTGTGAAATAAGGAACCTGTCTGAAGGAGGCTGGGGACCTGTTGGCTTTGTTCAGCCTCTAAATCCAGCCGGGCCACTTGATGATACTCTAAGGCATCAAAACACAATCAGAATGCTTGCTTGTCAAAGGAATGTTCTCTCTGGTAATGACTAACCAGCCTGCTTTTGGGATCTGAGAAGGAAAATCCCAGACAGGATCCTGGCAGGAAACAAAAACAAAAACAAAACAACAAAACCTCATCAAGTGCTGGATGCCAGAGGATGCTATGGAGGAAACACTCTCTTCCTCCTAGCTGACCCTTTTCCTTGGTTTCAGGATGAATTAAAATTCTTATCTGCTCCACCTCCAGCCTTCCTGATTGATTGTTAGTGAAGGCTAGAGTTTCCCAAGCTTTGTGGGGTTATTTTTGCCTCTGGGTGGTGGTCATGACTTCCTTCCACAGTGTTAGGTTCAACACCAGAGCAGAAATGACTTAGCAAACACCCTTAAAGAAGGCAAGACAGGATGGACCCCCAAACCTACTTTCATTTTCTTCCGGTCTGGGTTGTGGGTGATTTCTTGACAACTATGAGAGAGGAGACAATGAGACATGAATTGTTTTTACAATGCAGTTGTGAACAGATGTATAACTCGTGTGTCTCATCAAGGTGCTCAGGATCAGGGCTGGTATTCTGCACTGGTGGAGCTCCGCTTGTCCCAAGGACAGCGCCGTGATAACCCGGGTCACCTTGCTGTTTCGGGCCTTCTATATTTGGCAGTGTGAACAGACTTGCTTCCTTTTAGCAATTGATCTGAGTAGCAGACTCCCTTTCCGATGGTCCCGGCACGGTTTGCCGGCTGAGGGGAGGAAGGCTCTGCTCACTGGCCACTTGCCTGGCCACTGGCTTTTAAACAATCGCTTGTATTCTCTGCCTGGCAGGAAGCTGCCGACCCATCCAGGCCCTGGGCTCTCTTTGTTCTGATTTTATGGCATTTTATGCCACAATAAGAAACGCTGTGTACTCCACGGGAGCCCATTGTGCCAGGCTGCAAGGATGTGGGCCCTGTTGTATTGGGTCTGGTGCTGTTTCCCCCGGGGAGAATAGGGACTTTGTGTCAGGCTGGGGACAGAACAAGGGGTCCTGGACACTGTCACGGGGCAACTCCCTGGCCTGGGTGGAGGCAGCACTTGTCTACAGGCTCTTTTCTGTGCCCAAGGGAGGGCCAAAGAAGGGATGGGATTTCGTCTAGAGTAGCAGGTCCTGGTTACTTGTGAATTATACATCAGGACGGTGCTAACCTATGCTGCCACACGCCACAGCGAGGGCCCCTGAGGCAACCTTACTGGTGCTGCCTCGAGATTCTGTGCCAGATGCTGATGTCTATGACCCCTCGCACATCACTAGGAATCCCGTCCTGGCGAGCAGATGTGAAAGGGTCAAACCTGGGCTTCCCACGTTTTGGGTAGATTTGGCCCCTTGAGGCAAGAGCTGCTGGTTTTGTAGAAATAGTGTAAATGGGGAACGGTCCATTGAGGGAGGGATGGACCTGTGGTACCCTACCTGCCTCCTAAGCCGGCCACTGTACTCCCTGACTTCTGCCACTAGCCTGGCATTGTGACTATTAACAGCACACCGGGGGCAGAGGACGAAGAAGGGCAGTCTCTCCTGAAGACACCAATAATCAGAGACAAGAGTCAGACCAGGAGGCAGGTCATGAAGGGGGCGTCTGGGGGAGCTGACCCCAGATGATGGAGCATCCCATGTGGGTACAAA